TGCGTTTTGATTAATGAAATTATTAACAGAGTCCTAGAAGCCACAAAGCCTGAACTTTTAAGATAGGAGAGTTGTAACTGTTGGTGTGTTTTAGTTAGGGACTGGTGTTTCGCAAGACTGCTCTAAATAACAACCTATAATTGAAGATTTTGTTCAGATCCATTTTTCTTTCAATAGCAAATGATAAATGTTGTTTTTGTTTTTAGGTAACAAAAGAAGAAAGAACTTTCCAGGAAATAATGAAAAGTTACAGGAATCAGCCCCAAGCTAATAGTCATGTGAGTTACATCATTTTCTTACAGTCCAAAAATAAATTTGTACTATTTCTTTCTTGACGAGTCATGAGAGTTGTAAACTTCTTTTACATTTCTATGCCCAGGATTTTTCTGGTTTAATGGGTATCATTAAACACAAGATTTGGTCTCGTTAAAGAACAGGTTCAATAGAAGTTAGAAGTTTGTCCATTTATAACTAATCTCCTCCCTTATATATGTGTACTTCTTATCAAGTCTGCTGTGCTATGTGAATGGAGATGCTTTTCACTGGATGATCCTGTGAAAGCTTTATATACACACAAACAAAATATTCTTTGCTTGTATGAGACTTCATTTGCTTGGGATGGTTAAATATAGGGAAATTTGAGGTTTTATTGACTTCGTCTGCTTTTGCCCTCTGCTAAGCATTCTAATGTTTGCATCTTTGAATAGATGTGAAGCATTTCTGATAACTGTTGTAACAGCCATGGTGAGAAATCTGTAGAATTTGACTCATGAGAACATAAAATATGCTAACATGGTGGCTTGGCACACGCTGAAGCATTTATTGAATGTTAATTTGCATTGTTGCTGTTGTCACTGGTGAACATGGTTGAGTGACACTAATGGTCTGGCCATTCTGGAATCTAGTTCTTTGCTCTTGGAGAGCATAATGGCCTCTTCTCTCACCTGTGAGTCCCTGCACAAAGAGAGAGAGAGATACATGGTGACTGACCTGTATCATAGACCTAAAGAGAGTTGGGGCTACTAATCATCCCACCAGTGAAAGAATCTTTTATTTAAGCTCTCTCATTAACAATGAGCAATGCAGAAGCATTTGAACAACTAGGGTATTTGTGTCTTGTGACAAGCTAAGACTTTCTTGGCCTCTTGAGGAAAATTAATCAGCAGTAGCACCTAGAGAGTAGCTAGACCCTAAAGATCAATGTGGTGAAGTTACCATGGGTCAGAAGTGGACCAGCAAGTGCCTTGCATCTGCAGCCCAGCTACCCAGCTGCTGTTGGCTCACATCTCCTATTGCCAGAGACAGGTCTCAGGAGCCAGACTATATCAGCACAGGGTGGATCTGTGGGCAAGGGTGAGCTTAGACAAGAAAAGGGCAGTGTTCCCATGAATCAAGTTAAAAATGAAAAATCAGATCCCCTGCTGTGTCCGGAGTAATGAGTGTCAAATTGTGGGCTGATGGAACAGAAGGCGGGAGGGACTTTGGTGGTTGGCCAGGGTCCTGGGTGTTAGCATGGAGCCTGGCTTTCGTGAATATCAAGCCTGAAAGTTAAAGTCCAAGACAAGCCCTTTCCCTCCCTTATGTTAAATTCCTGCCACCTTCTTTTCAAGGTCAGTTGGTTATCACTGAGCTCTAGATGAACAATTGGGCATTTTTATGCACTTGGAATTAAGTGATTCATACAAGGCCAGTTCACCAAGAGCATATTTTTCTCCAATAGTAAATAGTTCTGCAATTTTGTTGTAAAAATTGATGAAGGCTGAGCCTGGCGCAGTAGCCTAGTGGCTAAAGTCCTCACCTTGCATGCTCCAAGATCCCATATGGACACCAGTTCTAATCCCAGTGGCCCTGCTTTCCATCTGGCTCTCTGCTTGTGACCTGGGAAGGCAGTGGAGGACGGCCCAATGCCTTGGGACCCTGCACCCACGGGGAGGTCCCCGAGGAGGCTCCTGGCTCAACTCCAGTCATTGTGGTCTCTTGGAGAATGAATCAACGGATGAAAGATCTCTGTCTCTCCTCCTCTCTGTGTGTCTGACTTTCCAATAAAAATAAAATAAATCTTTATAAATACGAAAAAGTCTAAGTGGGGACTATAAATTCGTTGCATGAAAAATTGGATCATGGGCCCAGTTGATGGCTGAGTGAAGTAATACTATTGTAATTTCATTCCTTTTTGAGTAACGAAACTATTAACTGAGATCACAAAGCCTGAACTTTAAAGGTGGGAAAATCATAATTGTTAGTGGTGGCCTGGGGTTTTTGGCTTTTGCAAGATTGCTCTTGGACATCTCGTATCCCAGGTGCTCTATTTCCCATCCAATTCCCTGCTGTGTTCTGGGAAAGTAGCGGAGAATGGTCCAAACTCTTGGGATTCTGCACTCATGGAAGACCCAGAAGAAGTTCCCACCTCCTGGCTTTGGACGGGCTCACCTCTATCCATTCTGGCCATTTGGGGAATGAACCAGCAGATGGAGGATCTTTCTGCCTTTCCTTGTGTCTCTAAATTTGATCTGCCTTTCCAATAGAAATAAGTCTTTTAAAAAAGTAGTAATAAGCTACAGAAGCATCAACTCTGCATTGATTTTGTTACTGTGAAAGCTGGTTGGTTGTATAGAACCTGGTGGCTGGTAGAGCATAGGACAGTATCTTGGTATATCATCAACTTTAATCATACATGAACAAGCAAACCTTTTTGTGAAACATGACCAAGCCACTGCTTCCTAAATATCCTTCCAAGAACCTATACCCAGAGAAAAATCCTTCATGCTTTTCCAGGAAGGTATTTACAGATGGGGGAGAAAATTTTCCATTTGGTCATTAAATTAGGTGAGAATGAACTTAAGGGAAAAGTGAGTTCAAATCCCAGGCTTGCTCATCCATCGTTAATTACTACTTACTGTGCTCTTCTGTTCCCTAAAGTAGGACGGCACCTTTCAGATGAGCGTCTGCCTCAATCTCCACTCATCTACAGTGTCTGCCATAATCTACACTTCTCAGAGCTAGTAACATTTACCCTCCATTGGCACTCATATACTCATACAGATATGTTCTATTTGGCTTGATATTTTGTTCTTCCTGTGGTTTTGCTTAAGTTATGACTTAGCAGTACTTTTTTTTTTTTCCTCTCTGGATTGTAGGTTTATAGAAGTGTTTTGCTGAGAAGTATTCCAAGAGAAGTTCCAACAAACAATAAAAACATAAGTGGTGATTCTGAAATGGCAGATGGCGGTAAGCTATGCAATTCATCACGTGCCATAATGTAATTCTGATTACACTGCACACAATACAGTTGCTCAGACAAAACAGCATCATGACAGGTGGAGGAAGCAAGGCATACATGTTTTGAAAACAGATTAAGTTTGAGATAAGGATGGCTCATTACTTCCCTATAAGAAGGATGGCAACCATTTGTGTCCCCCTAATTGTTTTAGAGAAGAAATTTTCTATTATATATATTAATAAAACACATTAACAATAAAACTGAACTATCTGAATGCCAGGAAAAGCAAGGCGGCAATCCATTATTTTGCCAAGGAACAAAGAAATGCCCTACTCCTGATTGCTGAATACTCATGATTCTACCTGCACGGGCAGACTGCTCCTTGTGAACACCATCATGTTAAAGGTTCAACCATTAGTCATTATTTCGACAATGAAAGAAAAAAATGAATCACTACATCCACATACCTTTTCTATTCCATCTCCTTCTTTATCTCATCTTTACCTATGTTTATTGCTGTGCTTTATTTAATCCAACAATACGGAACATTTATTTCTAGTTGTAACCAACTCTTTCATTATAGTTTCATGCTTGGTTCATATCACTGGTTCAGATGTTGTTGTTGTTTTTTTTTTAATTACATGGGAATTCATGATCATTTTGATGTCTGCTGGGATCTAAACTTTGGAGATGTTACCAAAAATATATATATATATCTCCTTTAGTAATGTTTTACAATCTGACCACATTAAGATTCATAGGTCAAATTCAGTTTTCTTTTGGTATATTATTGCTGAGGCAGTAATTAGTGTATAAGATAAATGTCAGATTTCCCACTCTCCACCCAGATCCCAAAAAGATCCTACAAAAATAGCAAGAGTGAAAAGACATCTGTTTAGCCTAGCAGTTAGCACACCCATATCCCATATTGGAGTACCTGGGTAGAAATACTTTCTTCTTTTTAGGTTTATTTATTTGAAAGAGTAATAGAGGACTTGGCACAGTAGCCTAGCAGCTAAAGCCCTCGCCTCGCATGTGCCGGGAGCCTGTATGACTGCCGATTGTAATCCCGACAGTCCCACTTCCTATCCGGTTCTCCGCCTGTGGCCTGGGAAAGCACTTGCTCTGGCCGTTGCAGCCACTGAAGATCTTCCTCTCTGTCTCTCCTCCCTGTATATCTGACTGTCCAATAACAACAAATAAAATTTTAAGTTAAAAAAAAAGGACGTGATAGAGGTAGAGAGGAAGAGAAATCTTTAAAAAAAAAATTTTTATTTGAAAGTGGAATTAGAGAGATAGAAGTCCTTCCGGGCCCGGCACTGTGGTCTAGTGGCTCGCCTTAAACGCACTAGAATCCTACATGGGCACCGGTTCTAATCCCAGTGGCCCCGCTTCCCATCTAGCTCCCTGCCTGTGGCCTGGGAAAGCAGTTGAGGATACCCTAAGGCCTTGGATTCCTGTACCCTTGTGGGAGACCTGGAGGAAGTTCCTGGCTCCTGGCTTCGGATTGGCACAGCACCAGCTGATATGGCTGCTTGGGGAGTGAATCATCAGATGGAAGATCTTCCTCTCTGTCTCTCCTCCTCTCTATATATCTGACTTTACAATAAAAATAAAATAAATCTTTAAAACAATAAAAGGCCTTCCATCTGCCAGTTCACTCCCCAATGTTCACGATGGCTGTAATTGATCCATATCTAGGAGCCTCTTTTGGGTCTTCCACTTAGGTGCAGGGGCCCAGGAACTGGGCCATCCTCCACTGCTTTCCCAGTCCATAAATAGTAAGCTGGACCAGAAGAGGAGCAGCTGGGATACGAACTGGTGCCCTTATGGGATACTGGCACCCCAGAGGCAAGCTTGACCTACTGTTACCACATTGCCAGTCCAAGAGAAAGAGATCTTCCATCTGCTAGTTCACTCCTAAAGTAGCCACTATGGTTTGTGCTGGTCCGGACTAAAGACAGTAACCTGGATCTCTATCCCAGTATCTCACATGAGCGGCCAGGGCTCGACCAGATTGAAGCCAGGAGTCAGGAACTCAATCAGAGTCTCCCATGTAGGTTCATGTACTTAACTACTCAAGTCATCATCTCCTGCCTCCCAAGATGGACATTAGCAGAAAGCTGGAATCAGGAGTGGACCTGGGGTTCCAACTTTAGCTCTCCAGGATGGAACGTAAGCCTACCAAGCAGTGTCTTGCCCATTGTGTCATGTGAGCTTTTTTCCCTTTGCACACCAAGAACCGTGTGCTCAGCTGTTGGTCAACAAGCTCAGTTGTAAAATGACAGCTTGCTTAGAGGTGGTAACCTATTCATTGGTTCAGTTTGAGATTGCTGGTAACACCAGGCAAAACTTCATCATACTATTTTTTTGGAGGAAGAGTATTTAAAAGTATTGACAGAAGAGCTTCTGTTTATAGAAGCTAAGAAAACCACAGCCAGTTACAAAGCATTTGGCACAGAAATCATACATGCTCTTTCATACTGACCTGCAAACATTAACAACACATGTGGAGAAGCGTGTCTTCCCCTTAGAAAAATCAATGTATCAAACAGGATCCAAGGGATCTACTCTAACGTTGAGATGCACACCCACAGGAGGTGAGTACACAGCCACTGGTTCACTCTGCAGGTGCCCACATGGTAGGACTGGATCAGCCTGGAGCTACAACCTGGGAAGCCAATCCAAGTCTTCCTAGTAATAGCAGGAACCGTCATCTCTGCTTCCCCGGGCCTGTATTAGCAGGAAGTCAGTGTCAAGAGTCAGACAAGCCACTTACTTAACTCTGTGTCTGGCATTGTGGTACCACTTGCTAAGCTGCCACCTGCAATACTGGCATCCCATATCAGAACTCCTTGCCATGTACCTAGTAGGTCAACACAGAATGGCCCAAGTCACCCACATGCGAGACCCAGGTGAAGTTCTTCATTTCTAGCTTTGGCTCGCCCAGTCTTGAGTGTTGTGGGCATTTTAGGGGTAAATCAGCAGATGGAAAATCTCCTTTGTGTACCTCTCCCTCTTTGTCACTCTGCCTCTTAAATAAATAAAAAACCAAAAGTTTCAAATACAAACTAACGTTCTCAGAATCCTTGTCCCCTGCCATGTGATCGTAGATAGATAAGCACTGCATTTGTTTCTTCCTAGAGCTCAGAGAATAATACGCCTCACCTTTTGAAGGGGCCAGTGAGAATCTCTGCAGACACTGTCATTGGAAGCTCAGGGTTACCACATTTGTGAAAACATTCTTGCTGCACAGGCATCTAGAAATAACAGCACCACCTTCAGTTCACATGGTTGCATTCCTTTGTACCTCAATTTGATTTCTAAATAGAGTATGGTACTTTGAATCCCCAGTAAATCTAAGTAAACCTATCACAAACCTGAATTCTTTTTAACAGACTTGGAAAATGCCACAAAAACACCTGACTGTTCCAGTGGACCCGTGAAAGAGGAAAGAGGTGATCTTATAAAATTTTACAATACAGTCTATGTCGCAAGAGTGAAGTCATTTGCGCTGAAATACGACCTGTCAAATCAGGACCATATGGTATGTGCTAAGCTTTGATACTTGACTAATATCTACAGGCCTACTTGGATCACTGTGAGATTATCTTGCTAATTAAGTGTTAGAATCCATCTGTGAAAGTAGCAGATCAGAGAAGGAAAGAGGAAACTCAGCAGCTGAGATGGGCACAGGAGGGAATGGACCTGAGTGGGCCCGGAGTCACTGACACCACAGACCTCACCCAGGCTGAGGGGGTGTACAGGGTGAGGGCAGTAAGGGCTGGGGAGTTGACAAAGAGTGCCTAGGAACATAATCAGAGTGAGTATGCCTTCGATACAAGGCTTGTATACACACAGGCAAGGACTAGTTGGGAACATGGAAATATGGGAATATCAAAACAACCCAGTTGGGCACTTTTTTTTTTTTTGGTGGCGTTTTGGGTTTTTTTTTTTTTAAAGTATTGAAATAATTTGTTTTGCAAGATCAAGAGACAGGGAAATTGGGCCTGGCGCCGTGGCCTAGCGGCTAAAGTCCTCGCCTTGCACTCGCCAGGATCCCATGTAGGCACCAGTTCTAATCCTGGCAGCCCCGCTTCCCATCCAGCTCCCTGCTTGTGGCCTGGGAAAGCAGCTGAGGATGGCTCAAAGCCTTGGGACCCTGCACCCGCGTGGGAGACCTGGAAGAGCTCCTGGCTCCTGGCCTTGGATCGGCACATTACCGGCCCTTGCAGTCACTTGGGAGTGAATCGTTAGACAGAAGATTTTTCTCTCTGTCTCTCCTTCTCTCTGTATATCTGACTTTGCAATAAAAAATAAATTAATTTAAAAAGAGAGAGAAACAAGGAAATAAATAGGCCTGGATCATCAGCAGGTGTTGCCCTAAAATGTCACACAGACCCTACTTTGGCTGTTAACAGTAGACTTGAGAACGTGCGAGAACCTATTAAGATAGACACTGGTGATCGATTTCCAAAAGACCTGTAGAGCTGCAAGAAGTGGCCTCTGTAGAAGCTGCACCCGTCACTGTGGGGGTCTGCGGTTGAATGCCTGCCTTTCATCTGAATCCCTGACAAGGAGAATGATCTGTGACCTTCCTTAGAGGCCAGGGCTCCTTCTGTCTTGGCACTTCTACCTCCTCTCTGTCATGTGCTGTACTCTATCTCCTCCATCAACCAATTTAAACAAGTTTTTAGCTTCAAATAAATGTGATGAACAAAATACTACCAAGGTGCCATCTCTATTCCATTTCCATGACATAGCATTTGTTAAAGAAAAGTGAAACCATGTGCACCCGACTCAGAATTTCTAAGTCTGTTTGATTTCAGTATAAGAAGTCTTCACCATATCATTAACAGATTCGTTCACAAAGAGATCATCCTGCTGCCTTGGAAAATCTGTTCCCTGTCTCTCTTATTTTCTTTGTGGCTGTGCTAGTTCTGTATATGTGTTTATAGGAACTCTTTTTTGTTTGTTTGTTTTTAAGATTTTTATTTGAAAGGTTTACAAAGGGAAGTGGAGACAGAGAGAGAAGTCTTCTATCTGATGCTTCACTGCCCAAATGGCCATTACAGCCAGAGCTGAGCCATTCTGAAGCTGGAAGCCAGGAGTTTCTTCCAGCTCTACTACATGGGTGCTAAAGCCCGAAGCCTTGGGCCATTTTCTGCTGCTTTTCTTATTACAAATGTTAGAGTGTTGATTACTCATTGTCCCTACTTACCAAATAGTAACACAAGTTTCTCATGCTTCTGACTGTGGTGACTTACGCAGATTTCTTTACTAGATTTGAATTTCCTGGAAGATCCAAGAAAAGAAACTCTTGTTTATGTATTGCATAACCAGCTATAATTCTCAGCTATAATATGTTACAATATTAACTACCTCCTAACTACGACATGTAGTAAGAATAAAAATACGATAGGCTTAAAATAAAATGAGAGTGTATCTTAAGAATTTGACTTTGGACAGGCATTTGGCCTGGTGATTTAAATACCATTGGCAATGCCTGCATCCAGTATCAGAGTGCCTGGGCTCTGGTGCCTACTCTGCTCCTGATTCAGGCTTCCTGTTATTGTGCACCCTGGGAGGCAGTAGGGCACGGTATTAGTATTTAGGTACTTGTGACCCATGGGAAGACCTGAGTTGAGTTCCCAGCTGTAGCCTAGCCTAGTCCTGGCTGTTGAGGATATTGAGGGAGTGAACCAGCCAGTGAAAGTGGTATTTGCTTTTCTGCCTTTCCCCTCCATATCACCCATTTACAAAGTATAAACAGAAAGTCTGATTTGTCGTTTATTTTAGATGGATGCTCCACCACTCTCTCCTTTTCCTCATATTAAGCACCAGCCAGGCTCCCCACGCCGCATTTCCCAGCAGCACTCCATTTACGTCTCTCCACACAAGAATGGGTCAGGTCTCACGCCAAAGAGTGCCCTGCTGTACAGGTTCAACGGCAGTCCTTCCAAGGTAAGGGTGCACAGGGGGAGAGTCACCTTAAAGAACTAGACCTTAAGATTGTATTTCACAGGTCAGCCAGGAATCTTTAATCTTGGCGTGTATGCTTGGGGGCTGGTTTTGTTTGGCAAAATTATGACTAATAAAATATGGACTATTGTCTATGACATGTTTCTGGTGACCAAGACCAGTATGTTTTAAAAAACAAAGAAAGAAACATCTGGTGTCTTGGTTTAATCCACCGCTGTGGATGAAGTATACCAGGTGTGCTGTGTTTCTCCATATGTAAGCAAGAGGGACCAACAAGTAAAACCTGAAAGTGATCAGACATGCAGGATGCTGAAACTCAGAAAAGGCTTTCAAAGATCAAAGTACATGTGCTGATGGCAGCTAGAATGCCAACAGTCTGAAACCAGAGACCTCCTATCTTGAGCCCCGTTTGGGACCGGGACATGCTTGCTGTGTCCAGATACTTTACTGTCAAGTACTTCAGTATTTCTACAAAAGCCAGAATCAGAATCAACTGGAAGAAATTACAGTGAGGCAAATTATAATTCGATCAGAATTCAATAATGTCTCATCAGCTTCCAAGCTGCAACCATTGCATTCTCACTGCACTTGGCAGAGTTGACAGGATGTACCTCTCAGAAATTCATTTCCAGGAAGGATATTTAGAAGAGAGTATTGCATGATATCAAAGATTATACCAGTTAATTCGTAAGACAGTGATTCTGAAACTATGGGTTAAAATCATCTGAGGAATGTGAACTAGCAGGTGGAAGACTTCTCTCTCTCTCTCTGTTGTTCTGTTTTTCAAATAAATAAGTAAATTAATCTTTAAAAGATAGATTATGGGGTCCAGCATTGCAGTTATGCCACTGCCTGCAATGTCAGTATCCCATGTGGGTGCCAGGTCAAGTTCTGCTTGCTCCACTTCTAATCCAGCTCCCTGCTAATTAATGCTCCTGGGAAAATTAACCCAAGTGAGTAGGTCCCTGTACCCTTGTGGGAGACTAAAATGTTTCTGGCTCCTGACTTTGACTTCTACTAGCTACAATTATTGTAGCCATTTGGAAATGGTACCAGTGGATGGAAGATTCTCTCTCTAGCTTTTAATTAAATGTTTTTCACTACAGCATAGATTTCTGAGTCTCACCCCACTGAGAAGGTCTGATTTATTTTTGAAAGACAAAGAGAGAACATCCTTCCTCTAGATCACTCCCCAAATGGTCATGATGGCCAGAGCTGGGCTGGTCCAAAGCTGTAAGCCAGGAGCTTCTTTCAGGTCTCTCCCATGGATACAGGGGCCAAAGGCCATGGGTCATCCCCCACTACTTTCCCAGGCCATAAGCCAGGAGCTGGATTAGAAGTGGAGCAGCCTTCCATGTGGAAGACCTAAAAGTTCCTGGCTCCTGGCTTCAGATTGACACAGCTTTGGCCGATGTGTCAGCTTGGGGAATGAGTCAATAATACTCCTCTCTGTATTTCTAACTTTGCAATAAAAATAAAATAAATCTTTAAAAAAAAGAAAATAGAGCATCTAGGACACAAATTGGCACTCATACCGGGTGCCAGTGCTGCAGGTGGATCATTGCACTGCATGCCATTGCACCAGCCCTAGGATGCCTGATTTAACAAGTATAGGGCTAGGATTGTCACCACCTAGGATCTAGGGACCACATTTTGAGACCTACTATTATAAAATAAATTCAGTTTTTAAAACTTACCAGCAAATAACTGTTCTAGTCACCTTCATTAACTTAATCTAGACAGAAAAACCCATCTCTCCCTCAGCATTGAGATTTAGGAAGTAACAGAGCAAGAAAAAAATAGCTAACAACTTAGTTTTTGGCAGTTTTTTTCATCTCTCCTGTGACTCACAGTCCTCTGTTTTTGCAGAGTTTGAAAGACATCAACAACATGATAAGGCAAGGTGAACAGAGAACCAAGAAGCGAGCAATAGCCATTGACAGCGAGGCAGAGTCCCCTGCCAAACGCCTGTGTCAAGAAAACGACGATGTTTTACTGAAGCGACTACAGGATGTTGTCAGTGAAAGAGCCAGTCATTAGCACCATGCCTGTGTCTGCTGAAAGCACTTTCAGGTCTGCGAAAATTCGCACCTCTCTTGTGCAGTCCTTCTGGCCTTCTGGACTGTAACAAAAACTGCACCAAGATTAAGCGCTTTCTTTTCCACATTTGTCTAAAATGTAGTTGACAGAAATGTATTTTGAGTTTGCATTGAATAGGAATGAATATCTTAAGAGTCTTTAAAATAGTAGTCATAGAGGGCCTGACACAGTAGCTTAGTGGCTAAAGTCCTCGCCTTAAACACACCGGGATTCCATATGGCCACCGGTTCTAATCCCGGCAGCCCCGCTTCCCATCCAGCTTCCTGCTTGTGGCCTGGGAAAGCAGTCGAGGATGGCCCAAAGCACCTGCACCTTGGGACCCTGCACCTGCATGGGAGACATGGGGGAGGCTCTGGCCTCCTGGCTTCGGATTGGCTCAGCTCTGGCTGCTGCAGCTGCTTGGGGAGTGAACCATAGGACAGAAGATCTTTCTGTCTCTCCTCCTCTCTGTATATCTGACTTTGCAATTAAAAAAAAAAAAAGAAGTAGCCATAAAACTTTTAAATGTTCTTTGCATTAGTTTTTAGGATCTAGAGAAACTTCATCATTTTTCAGCTTTTAAAAATAATCAGTTGTCTTCTTATGTGCTTTGTAGTAGGAGAGTTAAATAATCTGTTTTTGTAAATGTGCTTTGAGATATTTGTGTTTTCCAGTTAACACTGAAGGCGGGGGGGTTCCACTGCACACCAGGGTTGACCTCTGCTTGGAAGTCTGCTCCCTTCCTGTGCCCGTGCCCGTGCTCACCCTCAGCAGCAGCAGACTGGAACCCATCTCTGCAGTGTCCCTTATTTCCGGATTTCCAGTTCTCTGTAAAAAACCGCTACTTGCTGCTCCTTTTTACAACTACTGTCACTTGATTTTTCAGGGCATTAAATCAATGTAACTTAAAGAATAGTAAACTACTTCTCAAACCAGTAAAATAAAATGCAGGTGGCGTTCGGAGCTAATCTTCCTGTCAGGAAGCATCATAACATGTGACACATATTTGTGAAGTTAAGAAGGTCAGTCATTCTCCATTTGAATTGAGTCCTTCAGAGTATTTCAAACAGTTTTGAAGTCCCATTTAAACCTCCTTGTGCCCTTGATTTTGACATTAGTCACGCAGCTGCGTCTCACTTCCCCTCACGAATCTTATCATTATTGGCACATCTTGTGTTTCCCGTGGGGTTTCACAACCAAGTCCCCGTGAAGATACTTTCTAGCTTTCCAAATAATCAGTTCGTCTACATTTGCTTTTTCTAGTGTATTTTCAAAATCTGGAAGGAGATGCAAAAACCATTCTTAATGTATCTTAAGAACACAAAAGGTTGCAGAAGAAAAGGTACACACTTGATAACTTTTCAAAAATATATAATGTTTAATTTAGGTATGACTAACTTGGGCTGATTTTAATTAATCCGAGACTTGGTTGTCAGTCAGTATTTAGTATTGTTAGGAATTTTTATTTTCAAGTTTTAAGAAGAAAAAGCAATTTAATCACATTTTACTTTTCTGAAAATTACACCATCTTTTATTGTGTAGTATCTACACCTACTGTTATAAGCCAAAAAATAACACTGTGTTGAGTTCTTGTACATATTTTTATGTAGCTGTAATTTTTGTGCTGTTTTCATCTCCTTTATTGTGAAAAATATTAATGAGCATTTATACATGCACTATAGAAAACTTTGGACATGTTTTTATCGGTTTTCAGCAATATGTATGTATGTATTTAAAAGGATTACTGTCAGTTTCAAATTCTGGGCCCAGTGCAGTAGCCTAGCGGCCAAAGTTCTTGCCTTGAATGCGCCAGGATCCCATGTTGGCACGGGTTCTGATGCCGACACCTGTACTTCCCATCAAGCTCCATACTTCTGGCCTGAGAAAGTAGTTGAGGACAGTCCAGAGCCTTGAGAACATTCACCCACATGGGAGACCCAGAAGAGGCTCCAGGCTCCTGGCTTTGGATGGGCTGAACTTCAGCCATGAAACAAAAAAAGCAAGGGGGACTTGCTGTTAGGAGAGCTATGCTGCTACCAGCAAGACTGGCATCCCAAGTGGGTGCTGATTCCTGTCCCAGTTGCTCCACTTCTGATCCAACTACCTGCTGATGAGCCTGAGAAATCATGTAATGGTCCAAGTGCTTGAGTTCCTGCCAACCATTTAAGAGATGGAGATGAAGTTCCTAGCTTGTGACTGGACCAGCCCTGGCCATTGTGGCCATTTCAGAAGTGAACCAGCAGAGGGAAAAATCTCTGTCTTCTTCAAGAAATAAATCAGTCATAAAAAGAAAGGGTAAGTGGCCTCTGCACTGGTGTAGCAGGCTAATCCATATGGGATTCAGCACTAGTATACTCTATGGGAGCCACCTGGTGTCCTGGCTGCTCCATTTTTGATCCAGTTCCCCACCTGTGGCGTGGGAAAGCAGTGAAGATGGCCCAAGTCCTTGCGACCTACATCCACATGGGAGACCCAGAAGAACCTCCTGGCTTCAGATTGGCTAAGCCCTGTCCATTGCCATTTGGGTAGTGAACAAGCTTTCTTTTTTCTCTGTGACTTTGCCTCTCAAATAAAAATAACTTTTTTTTTTTAATTTAGGGAAAAGTGAAAGGAAGATCATCCAAG